AAAAGTCAGGGTAACAGACAGCACATTATCGGCCATTTATCTATTAAAATTGAAAAGTAGAGCGATAAATCTTTAAAAAGCGTTACGACACGTAACCCTGTGTAGATTAATGCAAAGATTCGAGTGATTATCATTATTACTAAAAATATGACCGAAAAATATGTTGTCTGTTGCGGCAACAAAACTATTCCATGCAGTTATCGTGAAACCACCCTAATACTCAAAATCAAAGAGCTCTAATTTTGTAACATTAAGTTGACTTAATGATTGAACTGTGCAGAAAAGTGATCAGATTTGTACCTCACATCGTCAGGTAACGGCCTCTAACCAGTCAACGATTAACCGAAACTGTAAGAAGTAAGAGCTCACTAAGATTAATCATGAAGAAAACATGGTCTTATTGCCAATTAAATTTAATTCAACTAAACAAAACAACTCTAGAGCACATGGGTTTTATTGTAAAAATGCAAGCTAATTTCTTTCAATCTAAGCGCAGTGATAGTCCTGTGTGATGATAAGGTACGCCAGGGCTCCTAGTTCAGCAACTTTTGGAAATTTTCTTTTAACCGATAGGGTCCTCAGGAAACAACTTTGTCTCTTCAATATCTGAAGAATAGTAATTGTGACATAAGGAAAATAAACATGTAATAAGAACTCTGCGAAGGTTGCAATTTCTTTTCCCCTGGATCCTCCACACCGCTTTCGATAGGTGTACGAAATGGTATTGAAATCTTTGGATACCTACTACTTTTCATGAGAGTGCAAACTATGATGAAAATACTGCTCCCTTTTGATACTTAGGCACAATTAAGTAATACTTGTGTAACTTCATCATCATAAATTACATTTATCGCGAACTCTCCGACGAATACCTGATATTTTAAATATAGAACTTAAAATTGACGATTGGGTGATGAACTTGATAACGACTTAAATCAGTTGACTTTCTTAAGTTTAAATAATGCGAAAATGCGTTCTAAATCTAAGAAATGATGTCTATGCACTGATTTAGACTATTTGAAATGAATTGCATTCATTTTCATATCTGTCGGCAGCACATCTGATTTTATACAGATGGCCGATTGAAGGTAAAATTTCGAGGCGCGAATTGAGTTGCGAGTGGTGTGGTGGTATTGAAACGACCTTAATCGTTACAACCCCCCATAGCACACAATATACCGTGGACATATCCGTACAATATCCGCGATTTTTTGGATATCCATAGAACATCCATGGATGTTCATGGAATATCCAAGCGGCCACTCAGTCTATGTTTGGAATATTCTATGAATATCCATAGAACCTTTAGTGTAGAAATTGATAGAAGTGTCGTCAACTAAGTTTACAGCTGTTTTCTTTTTTTACTACGCGCAGTAGCCAGATTTGCGTCTCTGCGCACGGTGGCGGCGTTGCTCGCAATCGTGCCACGGTCAATCCTCGATAAGTGGCTAGTGAATGACTGCATTGCGGTCACTCTCAAAAGGAAGGTGAACAAGGGGNGGGGGGGGGAGGGGGAGAGAGGGAGAGGGAGAGAGAGAGAGAGAGAAAACAAAGAAAAGAAGAAAAAAACGAAAAATGAAGAATGGGAAGAAAAAAACGAACAATTATCGAAATAGAGAAAAAAATGAGGGAAAAAGAAAAGAGAAAAGAAAGGAGGAAATAGGAGGAGCGCCCATAGGTAAACGCCTTAAATTGCCCCAGACAACATCAAAATTTTTCCGGGGGAAGTCCCCTGACCCCCTCACCTGGGGAGTGGGGGTTTTTCATACCCACTGGACCCGCCTCCATTGGGGAGGGGGGGGGGTGGTCCCAATTTTGACCGAAACTTACTCCTGAAAATTTAAAATTGGCCTGCCCTATTGATAAACCCTTGAAGAGGGGGACGGAGCCGGGTGCCTCCCTCCACGAGTTCCCCCTTGGGTCTCAAAATTGACGTAGACTCTCTGGACTCTCTAGACTCTCTGGTAGTTGACCCCAAAGAATCCAAACTTCTTTGTCTGGAGCCCTCTCATGTGTTCGTGGGGAGCGTGAAAGGGATTCATGACTATGAAAGTCGGGACTCCCGACCGAATTGCACATTAGGTAATCATATTGAAAATGAAGAGTAAAATAAAATATTCGGCCATACTGCGCGTGACAAAAAAAGAAAACAGCTGTGAACTTAGTGACGACACTTCTCTCATTTTCTACACTGAATGTTCTATGGATATCCATAGAATACTCAAAAATAGGCTGAGTGGCCGCTTGGATATTCCATGAGCATCCATGGATGTTCTATGGATATCCAAAAATCGCGGATATTGTACAGATATCCGCGATATATATATATATATATTGTGTGCTATCTGGGGTTGTAGTCGCCACTAAACTAGCAAGTACATCATTCTTGACTCTCTGCTCCAAATTTTACCATAATTAAAAGGAATGTATCCTCATTATAACGATACAGAAACTCGAATGATATTCAATTTTTTTGGTTACATTAAAAATAAAGTGATAACTAAAATATCGCGTATTTCGATGCTTTTATTTGAGATCATTCAGGAAAAGTTGAGGAAACTTTTCAGAAAAACTGTGTAGCCTTTTAAAAAAAATTGCTCAAAAATACAACATAAAAGTGGTGCATAACGTTGTAAGCAGAGATAAATAGGTACGCTACCTTCGCGTGCATCCGTCAGCTTTTGAACCGTTCATCTCTTACTTAAATAAGTAACTTGAACATGGTTGCTTCTCGATTTTTTACATGTACTTAGTTTTTTTACTTTCAGTGGTTGGCGGTCACGTCCCAAGTAGCAGTGATCGCGATAAATTGCGATTTAATCGGAAAATGTACCTATCGCGATTTTATCGACGTCGATTTATTGCAATATTATCGGATAAAAAATCGCGATAAATTGCGATTTCATCGCATTAAATTTCAATAAAATTTCGATTTCATCGAACGAGATTTTGTGGAGATAAAATTGAAATTTCTCATCTTCGCCCAAGAACGCACGAATAACGCTTATGAAAGATGTTCTTTAGCGGAGGTGTAAGAACGATTCGATACGAGGTTGGGCGTGGTGTTTGGATGGTGGGAGGTACGCCCACACTAAAAAAAAATTATCGGCGTTTTTACCGAGGTCCGTTGGTAACTTTACCATCTCACTTTTTTTACCAATTATTGGTAATCTTACCAAGACAGACTGGTAAGCTTACATAAAAACTGGTATTTTTACTGGTTTTTTCAGGTAGGAATATGTACCACTTTTATTGGTAATCAATTTCCGGTAACTTTACCATTTTATCTCGGTAATTTTACCACTGTCGATAAAAAATGTTTGCGTTTTTACCAAGGTCCATCGGTAACTTTGCCATCTCACTATTATTGGTAATTTTACCGGGACAGAATGATGAGATTACGAATAGAACCTTATTTTACCAACCGTACTTCAAGGTATGAAATAAAATACAGAGGAGGGAAAATAAAAAAAAAAATTCCAATGAAAACTCGGTGTCAGTCAACGCTATGACAAAAGTTGTAAGGTTGCGAAGCGTCGATCCATGTATAAGAGGCTTCAATTCGCACTCGTTAGTCATAGGTATAGCGGCCATAGCCTAGTGGCAATGTGCTGGCCTACCACCGCTGGGACTGGGGCTCGAATCCCCGCGGAGGCTCCGGGGATTTAACGCTCGTCTTCGTCAAAGGACCTGACGGCCAAACCTTACGGCAATCGGCTAACAGCGTAAATCCCTTTTTTTTGACGATTTTATCGGTAATATAATCGCTAGGATCATCAGCATCTGAGCGATTATCCTCGATCTTATCGCGATAAAATTGCGAACAGATCGAGGAGAATCGCTCAGATGTTGATGATCCTAGCGATTTTATCGCCGATAAAACCGTAAGAAAATTGTAATTTAATTAAGAAATATCGCAATTTTTCCGTTGAAAAATGCTACTTTGGGGTAACGGCCACAGACTCCTAGTATGGCCCGGGGAGACCGGGGACAGTTGTAACGGATTCGGGAAAATGGCTCTAAATTGCTTACTATGTTATAAAATTTCGTAATTTTTTTATCACAGCCTCTTTGGAAGGCTTACTTTTGAAAATGATGGTCCCTTTAAATTTTCTTGAAACTTTTGACACATTTTAAGGACTTTGAAAAAATTTCGATTTTGTTACAACCGTCCCAGGCCTGGGGTCGATTGTAACAAGGGCAGGGGCGGTTGTAACAAAACTTAAGAATTGGAGTAATTAACTTTAAAAAAAGATTTTACTACTATTTTTGGTCTGCAAAAAATTTTGACCTCCCACACTCCCAAAAAATAAGAACTACCTACCAAACCGGAGGGGGGGTCTGCGTCTGAAATTCAGATTTGCTTGAAAAATGAAAAAGCAAGAAGCTTTTCTGCAAGAAAATTGATCAAAATGGTAATCATATTTATAAGTCTTGGTACCCATGACCCCCCCCCCTCCGTTTGGAAATTTCTCAATTAAAATATATTATAAGGAATAGTGATCAAAATAAAAGCACAAAATAATTAAATCAATTAATTAAATTAAATTATTTATTAATAAATAATAATGAATAATTATTATTATTAATTAATAAGTAATTATTGTTATTATTTATTATTAATTAATTATTTATTTTTAATAATTTAATAACAGTTTTTAATAATTTAATAATAAACTTTAACACCAAAATTAAAACCAATACTTCGGTACTTAGCACCAAATATTGCAGTGAAATAGCACGTTAACATTGACATAACCTGTAAGTTAGCTTGTTACAACTGTCCCCGGTTTCAGTGTTACAACTGTCCCCCGCGCCACTTATTTTTGAAAAAAATCAGTGCTGCCACTCACTGTGCAGAAAGGATAAAACATTCTTACCAAAATGTACCTTAAGATACGATCTAATAACTCATTTAAAAAGTTCATACCGTTGATATTAAACCCCTGGTCACAAACCCGAAAATAATTTTTTTAAACTTGCGCCGGGACAGCCCTGAAAATGGTTCAATTTCTTTAATGTGTCGTCATTTGAACAAAAATTGCTCCATCAAGTTGAAATTCAGGACAGTTAGTCACAGTTAGTATAGGAACAATACACTATACATAGTTTACGGTCTCGCCACTCACAGCGCCACCAATCAGACCTGTTACATTTGACCCCTGTTTCAACTGTCCCCGGTCTCCCCTTCACCTCCAATAGATATCAGAGAAAATTGTAAAAATAAAACTATGAAGAAAGCTCTTCAGTTTAGTTTGTTTTTGACAAATCATCGTATGAATTTTACGTATTCTTGAGAGCACTCAGCAGCCGGTACTTATTTGCATGTGTTGGTTTGTATTTGGACTTCTTACATTTTGCAATGATGAACTGCTATTTCCGGCACATTCTAAAAACATGTCTGCCATTCGTTTTCCTATTCATAGAAAGATACATTTAAGGACAATTCGTAAATGGTAATTCGTGGTGATTGCACAACGTAGTTCATTTACATGTAAGGTTTTGCTACTTAGGTGTAGGTAGTTTAATAATACTCAGTTCAACATGTCTGAACTTAATTTTACATTATTGGCATGATGTGCTAGTTATGTACTACCCCAAAGAGAATTAAACTAGTCTTATATGCTATCATAAAACTCGATTTTAGAGGGGTAATATCTTTGCCGTTTCACATTATGTAAAACAGCCAATACCCTGCGTTAAATACCATGAATGATACGGGGAAAATGATCCTTGAATATTTGTCAATTACGTTGACGTCTTTTATTTTTGGCATGGATACTTTTAAGGCGGACGCTCCTTTTTTGATTGCGTGGAGCATTTTCGGTCGTGTGTGGTCGTTGCGCCGGTTTCCTCGGAACCTCAGTCCTCGACGGTTCACTGAATATGAGTACGCAGCACTTGAGCGATTTATCCGGAAACTCGGAGGGAATTTCGAAGGATCGTCAATTTGTTCATTGTTTAAATACCTTAAAACATAGATAGAAAGTGTTAGAAATTACTTTTGGACATAAATTGGTAATATTTCCAAGGGAGAAAAAACTCAGAAATACTTACACAAAATCTTGGCGCACTCTTAAGTAGCACATGTATTAGTCTGCAATTACCTACATGGTCGATTTTTTTTTTTTGCTAACCGATGAAAGTGCCATATATCGTGTCATGTTCATGAATTAGAGAGGCTTCTCTAACTGAAATTCATCGTGATAAAAGAGAAATAAGTTAATTTTCTATTCATCTATTTATTTTCTCTCTCTAAAAATTGCCTATCTACCTTTTTCACGAACAGAACTTACTTCATTTATAGCTCAAAATCGGCATTGATTGACGAAATAATCCAAAAATATTTCAATTTCCTTGTAAAACGTGCAATTAAAGTGAAAAATAATTTAAATATTTTATTTGCACTGTGCTTTTTGGGATGCATAGCGTCCATAAGTACCTATTTGTCAAAAAAAAGCACTGCTAAAATGTTTTATGTCCAATAACAGGTACGATTTGTCCAATGATTTTTTGCGTTTTCCGAAGGAGTTTTAATTAACTGTACTCTGTTCACAATTTTAATCTATGCATGAGAAAATGTTGAACGTTTTTTCGGAGGCTTCTAAATACTGCAATATTTACTGTTCCATCATTGTTTTCCGCAACAATGAGTATGGCGAGGCAGGAGAGATTAAAACAAAGAAAAGAAAAGAAGAAGAAAGAAAGCTTCTTGATTAAAAATTTTGAGAATTGAAAACAGCTATCGTTTAGTTTGTTATACAGAACATTGGAACAACTGGATCTTCAAAATATTAAAACCCTAAATTCCGGGAGCAACTTTAAAAACAATTAAAAAACGTCCCATCCCTCCTCATTTGAAGGAGGGACACGTACAAAGAGGGTTCGGACAGTATTTAAGATAAATTACCCATTTTTTTAGTTTGCATACTTTTATTAAATGGTTGAACTGGAACAAAAACAAAGTGTGGCATCAAAAAACAAATTAACTATGGGGAAAAAAGAAACTTAGCATCGAATGCATAATTAGCATTATTTTTACAGTACATAAAAAAGTGAGAATACCGTTAAACCTCTCTTTTTTTAATCAGAAACTTAGGAAAATAACACGTAAAAGCCTCAATTTTTCTAAATTTCAAGTGACAGCCCTTGTGTGTTGCTAAGAATTTTAAATTCAAGTATCCCGTCCCTATCCCTCCCCCCTGTATTGTTTTAAAGTGTCCTATCCCCCCTTCATGACCATTTTTCAAACAAACGAACAAAACTTAAAACAGAGAGGTGTTAGCCTTCCACCACTTGATGTAATTATAGCTGGATGACGTACAATATGTATAAATTTGAAAACTATGAGTTTGGATTGATGAAAAACAATAGCTATGTTTATGCGAGCCTCTTAACCTAACTTCAATCGAAACCTGAGTTTGAAACCAAGGTTCAAATCACGGCATAAACGATACGGAACTAACGAAATGTAGGTTTCCGAAATTTGTGTTTGAAACCTTATTTTACACTAAAGACTAGGTTTTCGCACTCCGCATAAACGAACCGGAGGTTGAAATTAGTTGAAATTCGACTTCAAATGCGATTTTCAGGTGCGCGATCGGCAATATGGCGGATTTATTATCATAACGTTCGTAAACAACTGGTGCTTATCCCACGATTTAGCGTTAATTTTGTCATTATTCAACATTTTTTACAATCATAATTTTACTATAATTGTTGCTTAAGCACTTTTACGTGATTCCTTCAGTTATATGTGGCTTACTTATCCTTATTTAGCTAAACGTAGGACGTTATTTTCTAGTGAAGGTGTTTAGTGTCAGATGGAATCCAGGCTTATTACTGCTTTTTCAGATAATTCTTGCAACTCTAATCAACATTTTATGACTACAGAAGCAAAGCAAGCAAAGAGCTTTACAGGCTACAATTGAGTAATAGCCTTACCTACCAGTTCATCATCTGCGGAGAACTTTTTTACTGTATCCAAACGATTTGCCTAAGATTTCAAGATAAGGCACCCTGCTTCCCTTTAAGTAGTGCACCGAATTTTTTCATTTCAATCTACCGATTAAATCTAAAATCTGATCCAGTCAGAGCTGCATAGCTCTTGAATTTGTGTGTTATCCGTGTATCTATTTCCTGGTTGTCCTACTGGAAGTGTGACTCCAGCCACAACCGTGACCTGCTGACTTATTTCTTTGATCCAATCTCTTGTAAATGATGACTCAAATTCTGAAGCCATCATTTATTGAAACTAGTTCAAAGTTATTGCTCCAAAGTATCGTCACTCTTCTCATACTGATGCAGAAGGAAGGAGATTCTTCGGTGAGTGCTCTGTGATCTAAGATTTTCAATTTGAGATAAGAATAAGGTTTTTATTGAGGCGTGTAACAATTTTTGGTCGTTGAACCACTTGTCATAATTGAGTTTTGGCGTTAGAGATGCATCAACTGTGGAAAGTGGCTCTGCCTGTGCAAAAATATCTTGTGACAGCAGTGAATGTTAGTAAATGCGCTTTACAGATAGGCTGAGAGCTCCAGATTCCAATCTAACTGAATTATTAAATTCAGAAGGATTTTTGAATTGAGTTCATATCGAATCTCAGTAGGAGAATAATATACAGTCTAAGCGAAAGAATATCAATGGTAAGGTTGGGTTTGTGTCTTAGATTAGTGAAATGCAATGGCAGGTTCTGAAATCTTGTTTGTCAGTTGCTCTTTACATGAGTCACCTTTGAAAATCAAGTTTAAGGAAAACACACATAGGTAGGCAAACAGTGGTAGGCAGCTTGCCTATTTTCTTCCTGTCTTGCTCATGGACTCGGATAGCAGTCGGAAAGAGGGGTGCGAGAAACAGGATTTCAGCGCGTGTCTCTGGGAATGTGGAAATTCAGAATTTGTGAAGCGTCACCAGTTTGTTGAGATTGTCACCGTCCGTTGCCTCAAGAGGATTTAGACGCTTCTGCTTCAGCGATACATTGTTGACCTATCAATATCTGCTTATTTTGATCATATCGTGAAGGAGGAATTCCCATAAGTATATCCCGATTCTTTATTTGTTTCACTACAATAATGGCAGACACACAATCTTTACGACAGCATGGAGTGAAGGTGCGGTGCTTTACTGGATTAGCACTCCTACGCTTTCAATGCCTATATCTAAGTACCTATTGTAAGATCATTAGAAGCTCAATCAACAACATGATGAATTTCTGCGCCTGCCATAATTATTTTTAACATCACTAAAAATTACCTATGGCAACTTTTCTGCACTCAGAATATAAGCTCGAGCATGATTTGGAGGGTTGTTGAGATTAGGTATTCATTCAATTTTAAAGATGAACGTGAAATGATGAAACATCTACTGTCATTTTTCCAACTGTTGCTCAGAAAGTCAGTAAAGGCTTTTCTAGTGAAGATGAAGCCTCCGCTTATATATTGTGGAAAAATTGAACATACACAGGTTAAAAGAGTAATACCTAATAATTTATTGAATCAATTCATAGTGGAAAAATGAAGTATAGCTTGTGAAAATGGCGCCAACATGAAATTCAAGTTCAATCGAAAATATGCGCATAAACAGCGCCAAAATCGGAAAGTTTGATTTCCCGCGAAAGTCGGGTTACAGCGCCCGCATAAACCCGACGGAGGAAACTTGCATTACAAACTCGGGTTTCATGAAACCCCGGTTTCGAGCCTCGCATAAACGTAGCTAATTATAATTATTATCTCAGAGAGAACATATTAGCAGCTTTCACCACCTAGACTCTACAGACAGTGAGAGCCACTTTAAAGACCAACATATCCCAGTAAGTACCATGTCACTGCCGCCAACCTATACACAAATTACCCCAACGTCCCATCTCTCCTGCCTTTAAATAAATCGTCAGAAAAATTACTACTTATCTCAAAGTTTGTCTGCTTTTTTCAAAGATTGTAAGTACGCATACACTGAAAACTATAGTCTTTTAAGAATTTTAACGCCTTTTTAGATCACTCTTTAGGGTCAAGTCGTTTGGACGTATTTGTACTAATGAAGGTAAAGCAGGAACCAAGTGCAAATGAATTAAATCAAGAGGAATACTGCGTCTATGCGATTATGCATGGATTGGTCATTTGCGGGTTCTACAGTTCCTTCCTTTTGATTTTATGATTTTTTGCATACCTAGCTTCTTATAGCCTAAATACATCCTCAGGATGTTTCAAGCATTTTGAAATTCCGACTTGAAGATTCATTTTCAGTTTTTGGCCGCCGCGCGCCGCTGCGCTAGAATTGTCAACGCTCATTACGTACCTAGGCATAGTTTGTCGATTACGGATGGGTGGAATTGGTGACATTTTGATGTCTTGAAGCTCTACAATATCTTCACTCACTGATCTCTCAGATTCATAATTATCGCTAAAGCAACTCCTTCCAACTGGGATGCCTGAGAAAAAGAGGATTTTTTTTAAGTTTCCATCGGTTACATACAGGAGTATATTAAGTTGGTACATTTCTAAGTGTCGGTGTGCAGTGAAGATACTTATGGTGTATTTTTCGAAGACAAATAAGTAAACAGTTGTTGAAAATAATTGGACCGCGTTTAACAAAAAGGAACCAAAGCCACATCAGCTATTGCCAAATTTAACCGAGCAATTTAATTTTTTATGAGAGAAAGTCTGTGTGAATTTCTTTGAAAATTTTAAGGAATTAGCTTCGTACTATGGAGAAAATTCACCAAAATTTGCACGAAAATCCGCACAACCGTTTTCATGTAAAAAATTAAATTGCCAAATTAAAGTTGGCAACAACTGATGTAGCTTGGTTCCTTTTTGTTTAACGCGGTCCAATTCCATTCAACAAATCTGGTCAAAAAAGAAAGAAAAAATTTAAAAAAAAGGTTAAGGAACGGAAATTAATTTTAAGAGGGGGCAGATAGGGGCCACGAAGATACTTTCGCATCCCACCCTAAAACTTTTAGGGTATCTTCTAAGGTCCCTATGATACCTTTTTTAGCAATCAAAATGTCCGTCTCCCGGGGCATCATATTCAAAATGGCCGCTATGCCCAAACTCGAAAGGTCCGGAGATGCTTTAAAAAATTCAGAATTTACTCGTAAATTTTCACAGATGCGCAAAGTTGTCAAGGGGCAAAAAATGTTCTATGCAAAATTTTACATCGCAATTCGCCAAGTTTGGACCACTAATTCCCTTACTTTCAAGAAATAATTTACTTTTTTCCAAAAATTTCGGAAATGTCTAGAAATGTCGAAAAATTTACGTGAATATTGCTGTAACCCCATTGCCTCTAGTGCTTCTACTGAGTGCCAAAAAACTTTTTCATACCTTCTGGCATATGATCCGTCAATTTCAAACCTCCAAAGCCATAAATCAAGCGATAAATCACATTTTTTGCAGTTGATGACATTTTCGACAACACCTATGTTCCAATTGCCAGTTCGTGGAGAAACTGCAGTAGCTGGTTTAACCCCATCATTTTATTTTCCGAAGTATGGAGATTGATGATAGCTTCTCAAAAATCATGAAACTCCCCCTAAAAATCCAAGTTGGCGACCAAAATGATCCTTTCAGGATAAAGAAATATTTCTGTCACATAAGTATCTTGTAGGGTATCTATTATCACATATTTCTGGTCGTAAAAAATTCGAATTTGCAGTCAGAAATCATCGTAATCAACAGGGTAAAGCTGAAATCTAATATGGCGGCCAAAATGACCCTTTCATGATTAAAACAAATTTCTGTCGCCAATATGTCGTGTAAGGTGTCGAATATTGTAAATTCATCGGAGGTCTTTTTCAATGCCAGAAATGAACAGAAGGCAAAAAAGTACACGGGAATCACCCCTTGAAAGAGTGATGACAGTCGAAAATGTCGACATAGATTAGTATTTTTCAATTCCTCTCCACTCCTTCATCTAAATTCCTCCATTTGAACGGATTTTAATGATATTCGGCTTCATTTCTTGGTGAACAACCCAAGGTACACTCTGCTACAGGTATGGACAAATGGGATTTCAGAAAGTCGTCGAAACGCGTAGATTTGACAGGGTCCAATGGTACGACTGCGACGCCATATTGAAAACTTGTTTACTTTCTGTTCTGAGAGTGGGTCTTGTCAAGATCGTGGCATTTACTCGTGCTCATAGTTAAGATTTTTGTTCTTTTGAGTTTTATCAATTTTTTTAAATTCATTTGATAGCTTATCTGCCAGAGCCTTGGGAAAGGGTAATTTTGAACTACGCGGCAAAGACGGTACGACTTGCAACGTCACTCGATGACCTATATTCTCAGCGCTGCCTTTTCGGTACCCCGTTTGTCTATACCTGTAGTAGAGTGTGCCTTGTGAACACCCTCTGCAACTAGCACTAGCTCTTTATGCCGTCGCCGTCGATGAGTACTTTATTAAGCTGGAAACGGACTTGAATTCGTGGGAAAACTAGAGTACCTTTATAGGTAAGGAGAGTATGGACAACTCGATTTATGTAGCTCAGCGTGGTCAGATCGAGTCAAAGTCTTACCGGGATATTGACCCGTGTTATTATTTTTAAATTCCTGTTTTTTTTTTATTTTTTTGGTTTTCCTCATATCTTTACCAGGATGTATTCTAAACCCCTGGTACTGTATTAATTTGTTTGTATTCACGTGCAAAAAATAAACAATTTTTATGAGTTACATATGCTATCTTTTGCACAGGCCACCTAAAATTCTACTTTTTACACACTTAAAATGATATCCTATCACTCGGGGCATTTAGTAAGTAAGGGCCGGGCTGACCGGCGAGGCGCCCTCAAGGGGCCGAGGCAACTGGCAGGAACCCTGCCGTCGTGCACCCCGAAGTTGGACCGTGCTCTTTAACTTCGTACTATTGACTTATTGTGTATCCTTTATATTTCCGCAAGGCTCAGCGGCCGTCTGACAGCCAACGGTGCACCTGGGGCATTTACCCCATCATTTGCGGTATCTACCCCATCACGCGGGGTATCGACCCCATCACCTGGGGTATCTACCCAATCACCTGCGGTATCTACCCCATTTTATACCTTTCTAATGTGGTATTTAATACTACCCTATTTTATATGGTATTTTATACCTAAAAAAGGCACTTTATAGGATATTTTAATATGGTATTTTATACCTATTTTCAGCTATTTCATAGGTCTTTTTAGATATCTTGATAGGTATTATAAACCATATTATGGCTAACTAGGATAGGTCCTCTTTCGAAGTTTTCAATTGAAGTTTGATGGCTGCTTGCCAATTTCTCGTTTTGACTGTAAAAATAAATTGTTATGTGTAAAACGATATTGTTTTTGATATGCTGCTAGGTGTCGATAGGTAGTCGATTCTTTGGGTCAAAAGAAGACGTTTTTGTAGTATAACTTTTTTTCGAAAAACGCTTTCCGTGGGGGCCCTATTATCCCCCTATTATCAGCTCCTATTATTCCCTATTAGTCCCTATTATCTCGAAAACCATGAGTTATAGCGAAAAAACGCAGGAGACACTTTCTCAATATTTTTCAACGCTGAATCTTGTGGTGCAATCAATTTTTGTCGCCAGAAACATGAATTTTGGCCCTTTTTAGGTTCGGTACCCCCCTCCCGAAACCCCCCTCAAAATGAGTTTTACCTTCTTTGGCGGTCAAATATGAAAAGAACGCTAAAAATTACTTCCAGTTACCAACTTTCATTAATATTGGTTGATAAACATTTCCACCGTGTTAAAAAGACGATTTTTTTCCTCCAATTTTGGGGAGTCGTGGCGCCCAGGGAAAGCGTTGTGGGGAAAAAATTTATACCACTATAACGTCTTTTTTGGCCCAAAGAATCGACTCCTTCAATATTCGTATTTAATCCTGAGACACCCTGCATATTACAAGTTTCATTACTGTTTCATTTCATGTTTCGATACTCCTAACCCAAAAAGTTTTCATTAAAAATTTATTTTTTCTTTAACTTGAAGTTTATCTACTCTGCCCCCGACTCACTCGGGGGGGGGGGGGGGGGGGGGGGAGGGAGTCACACATGGGACAGGTTGAATTTTATCCTATTTATTTAATTCTTAGCAAAGCTCCTAGTCATTCAATTGAAACCAAACCTCGCAGAAAATAGCGAACGAGTGTAAAGGAGAAGCCTATCCTCAAATGTTTATCAACCTGGTTACGCTCTTCGCCATTTGAACGCGGCATTGTAGCTCGACTGATCATAAATGAAAATACGCTTCTTTACGTTTAAAAGAAAGTGAGTCCTTTGTATTCCTTCGCGTAGGTAGGTACTTTCCATTTCTGGCCTTTAAAGAGACCTCCGATGAATTTTAAGGGACCTTACGGTACATTGTTGCCATGTTTGCCCTATGTTCAGGGGTTCAATTGCACATACGTATAACTTAATTTAAACTAAAAACTGTGCGCGATTTTGGTTAGAACGCAAAACAATGAAAACAAAAATTTCAGTGAAACTTTTTCCTACTTCCTCAAACTTTTGAGAAAGTTCATCCCAAATAAGAGCCATACAATTTCTGGCGGAAACTGCAAGTCAAAATCTTGATTTTTGACAAACTGGCGGCCGGTCAAAGTTCTAAAGAACGGAAATTTGACATCTCCGATTTTGTTGACGGATTGGGACGAAACCTGGTATCCGGAAATTTTTGGGAAAAAAACACGATTGTGCCATTAGTTTTTCGGAAAATTCTGTCGTTTTCAAAATGGCGGCGGTTAAAATGGCGACCTAGAGCGACAAGAGAATATTTAGGCTGCTTATCGGCGGATTTGCATGAAATTTGGAATCCGGGAGTATTTTGGCACGAAAAAAACCAATCTTTCATTGGATTTTTGAAATTCTGAATAACTTCCAAATGGCGGAAACTTGGTATTACGGACGCTTTTACGGTTGGATTCGCATGAAACTTGGCCGCCATTTTGGTAGTACCTATTTAACATTTCAAAAATTTAATGCGAGAAAGTCATTTTTATCGAACCAGAAACCAACAGGACCTCGAGTTTCATGCGAATCTAACCGCAAGTGTCCGTAATACCACGTTTTCGCCATTTTTCCAGTGCCATTTTGAAGTTATTCCAAATTTCAAAAATCCAATGAAAGATTTGCTTTTTTCGTGCTGAAATTTCTCTGGATACCAAGTTTCCTGCAGATCCGTTGATAAGCAGCCTAAATATTCTCTCGCCGTGCCGCCATTTTGCAAGGGACATAATTTTCCGGAAAACTATTGCCACAATCGTGTTTTTTTCCCAAAAATCTCCGGATATCAGGTTTCGTCCCAATCCGTCAACGAAAACGGAGGTGTTGAATTTCCGTTATTTTGAACTTTGACCGGCCGCCATTTTGTCAAAAATCAAGATTTTGACTTCAGTTTGAGCCAAAATTTTTCTTTTTTTTATCCTCTTTCGATTGATGTGTCACAAAGGGGGAAGGGGGGTGCCATTTGAAAAAAAAAGTTGGGCTCCGAAGCCCGTCCCCATGGGAGGCCCCAAAAGTAGCCAACATTGATCTATGAACATCCCCAAAGTTTCATTTCAAAATATCAATTAGGTAAAATTTTAGAGGGGGTGGAAGGTACTTTTGGGACACCCTGTAAAGAATATGAAACATCCACGCAGAACTTACTTAACCTCAAACAAAAAATCGAGGTGTCAACAACGACAGCGTGGTGGTAGTAAGCAGGTTGGCTTCGTCGCCGCCATCTTCATTCTTCCCGTCTATGACGCGTAGTTTCGAAGATTAGTAGCGGTAACGAACGGAACGGTTCACATATGTTTTTGACGACCCCTAAATACGAAGCGTTATATCTCCGCAGGGACAATTTTTTGTGAAATTTTACCCTCCGTATCGTTACTGTTGTATCGAAACTGTAGGAACCGACTAGGCAGAGGTGTCGTCAGCTAAGTTGTCTCGATTTTGAGACACCAATACTGCCTGAAAATATTCCTTAAGTACAATATTTTCCCCGTAGGTAGGTACCTACCACATTATTGCAGAGTTGGCGCAAATAAGTCGTGAAATAAATTTTTACCAGTGGTGGGTTGAGGATCTTCAATTTTTTTCTTCTTGGCCTTTTTCTTCGCTCTGGTGTGGCCCCAATACGTGTAGTTAACAGCAGCATACTCCAAGAGGGCAGCGAAGACAAAAACGAAGCACATGACGAGATATATGTCGATTGCTTTTACGTAAGATATCCGTGGAAGTGAACTTCGCACTCCGGTGCTTATGGTTGTCATGGTCAGCACCGTTGTGATACCTAAACGGAAATCCACCAATTCATCAACATGAGGTGGTAGAAATATACGATCATTTAATCTTAGCCCGATAGTCTTCACAAAGGGTGTCCCAAAACACTCGTACCTGTCGCGCACCAGGGCGTAGTCAAGGACCGTGGGAATAGAAATAAGGAATTGACCCCCAAAACGGTCAAATTTTATCATACCGAATTAGAGCCTCTTCGCTCTCCCTTTGCGGAGCTGCAAGGAGGAGTCTTCTGACTCTCAAATTTGGAAATCCCTTCAAGATTTTTGTACGAAATCTTGTTTAGAGTTTGTTCACTTTGGTCCAGTGAACGAAAGCATAGAGGGCCCGTTTCCGGCCAAAAATTAACATACGGCCGGAACTAGGCCCAATCGATTCTACGTATGAAAACGTGTTTTTAGCCTAAAGTGCCCATAAAATCCCTTTTGGGGATCACGCACAGTGGTCCGATGGACTTGAAAATTGGACATTTTTTCAAAAACGCACTGCGGGGCGAGAAATATACTTGGAGAGCTTAATTTTTTTGAAAATGTAGGTAGTTGAGTCTACTTTTCGAATTAGCTATAGTTTGGAATGTCTATGTAAGTTAAATGTGAGTAATAAGTTGAAAAAAATTGAAAATTGAGAATGTTTGATCGACATTCTTAGCCATCATGCAAATCCCTGCACCGCGGTCATTCCCAAGTGGCCTCCCATCTAGGTACTAACTACGCCCGATGTTACTTAACCCCCGTGATCGCCCGAGTGCCGCTGCCGTGGAGCGAAAATGCCTCGCGTGAGGACAAAGGGTAATTTAGCATTCATAAACGTCCCCAGCGCAGATTCTATGATTGAAAGCAGTGATATTCTTGGAATTTATACATTATGTACTTTCAAAGAAACATAAATAATAAAAAATTGGATCAATTTTTGGAAAAAGTAGTGAATAACACATGAAACAAATTAAACAAAATGATACTTATTAAAATGAAGAAAAATTAATAAATAAATGAAATGAGATAAAATAAAAATAGATAGATAAATAAATATAAATAAATAAATAAATATAAATAAATAAATATAAATAAATAAATAAATATAAATAAATAAATATAAATAAATAAATAAATATAAATAAATAAATGTAATGAAATGAAATGAAATAAAAATAAATAAATAGATAAACAAATAAATTAAATAAAACAAGAAATGAATAAAATGAGATATTTTTGCAGAAATATACTAATTAAAGTTCCGGAAAAAGTGACATAGGTACCTACTTTTGTTTCGAATGGTACATTTTGGAGACATGAAATTACCCATCGGAACTGCAAATTTCTCAAATTTTCCATGAAGCTCTTCAAAAATGACCTGCTTTCTGGCGTGACAGTTTATAGTGCCATCTCAATTTTCCGGGATTCCTCCTAACGATACGCGATACGATAAGCTCTCTATAAATGGCCTGCTTTCTGGGACCGAGTTTGAAATGGAAGCTTATGATGACCTAAAGCTCAAAAATTCAATAAGAGCATAGGATCGGCTTTCGAGTTGGGGAGGGGGGGAGGGGCAAAATCCCATCTAATATTCGCCGTTTTTTTTTTTTTGAATTGATGTTGCCGCGGGCTTCTACTCGTTGTTCTCACATGTTCAGCCTGTCGACACTTTACTAATTTCTCACGTACAATTCGAATTTCACGTCAAGGAATGGATACTTTGATTCGTTTCATCGATTTTTCCCGATTTTACAAGGAACATTAATTCTTTTGTTAGCCGATACTGACGAATATCGATCCCAGAAACCATCAATGTTCCTTGTAAAATCGGGGAAAATTGATAAAGGGAATCGATGTATAGATTCCTTGACGTGAAATTTGAATTCTACGTGAAAAAGTAGTGTAGTAACGATAGGATGAACATGTGAGAACAACGAGTAGAAGCCCGCAGCAACATCAATTTAACAAGAAAACGGCGAATATTAGATGGGATTTTGTCCTCCCCCACCCCCCCGACCCCCCCGACCCCCGGAAACTCGGAAACCGTTCCTGTGCTCTTGTTAAATTTTTGAGCTTTAGATTATCGTAAACTTCTATTTCAAACTCGGTCCTATGGCCGAATCGTCGGCCCAGAAAGCAGGTCATTTTTGGAGAGCTTCATGGAAAATTTGAGAAGTATGCGGTTCCGATGGGTAATTTCATGTCTCCAAAATGTACCATGTTGTGAAAATCTGTGGTTTTAGTGTTCGAGTACTTAAAATAACCATATTCAAGAAACCGAGGCATTATAACTACCGAGGAAATTTATTTTCAGTGATATGAACGGGACTTACCATCGGTAATTTGCTCCTTTTAGCTCTAAAATACCTCCAAGTCGACTTTATTTTCCAGGAGCTCGAGAGGGTGTGTTTCCTCTTGGCTTAAATGACTAGGTAGGCACTCTACTTCATGAATTTGAAGCGGTTTTGCTTTTGATTTGTCAAAAAAATTAAACTCGTTTAGGCAAAACCGTGCCGGGAGAATGTTACGAAAAATCGGCGAAATCGCACGATGACGCTCGTTTGAAGGGTGAAAAAGGGCATTTTAAAAGTGGTCAGGAAAGGTGTGTTCTTTTTCTTGTAAAACTGCCTAAAGAGTGTGTTACCTCCTCAAAAAATTTCAAAGCCGTAGCGACATTTTAAAGGTAGGAAAAAGGCACACATTGCGGGGAGAATGTTAGGAAAAATTGGCGGTATCGCACAATGTGGCCACTGGGGTGGAAAAGGGGCATTTCAAAAGTGGTCAGGTAACTTATGTTATTTTCCTCATAAAAAGCTCTAAAAAGTGAGTTACTTTAAAAAAATTCAAAGCGGTAGTTACATTTTAAAGGGGGAAAAAAATTCGCAAAATTACAGAAAAACGCGATCGTCCCAAATTTGAAGTTCCCGCGTGGAGACTTCTCGGCCCCGGCGGCACCACCTAGGATGATCCGATCCGACTGAAATTTTTTGTACATTCATTTGACGCTAGAAGACAACTTTGTGGGGGGTCAGATATTTGGTTTTCGAAAAGTCGAAAAATAAGAACCACCCTAAGCCACAGCCTTTCGGCTCATTGTAATGTGCATTCTGATAATCAGTCCCGCTAGTCCAAACCCTGACATTCTTTTCTTTGACCATTCTTTCTTCATTCTCGCCAGAATCAAAGTGTTTTGCAGTTTCTTCATCTAAAATATGTGGTTCTGAATTCATTCAAGAGTCGGAAGTTCACCTTTATTTTAGTACTAGCCGTTCTGGACGCGCCTTGCGCGTCTATCACTGCTAGCCGAGGGGCAGCGCCCCCTGGATCCCCGATCACTCCCTACGCGAGTGACACTCGGCTCGCGAGAGCTTTTTTTTCTGAGTAGTTGGACGTTTGATCACTAGGCCTTGTCTCCACGGGACGTTTTCATGGGATTTGTCCCAAGTTCGAATCGCAGGAATGAAACTTCTGGGATTTTTCCCAGTTACCGTCTCCACGGGACGGGGCTCATACAGTCCTGCGACTAGTTTGCGCGGGAAGATAAAGTAGTTAAAGTCGAGTATTTAACCGGTATTATAATAATAAATGCACTCAATTGACAATTAGACACATTATTTTAACTAAACAAACATTAACAATGTAGTAATGAATAAAATATCGCACAATTCGTTTTTACTTCTTCTTCTCTCACTGGGTCCTAGGGGTAGAAGTACCATACATGGTACTGGGAAAAATATTGCTTAGCTCAATATTTTTCCCAACTTCGTAAGTGGGATTTTTCCCTGGGACAAATCTCGTGAAACGGCTCGTGGAGACAAGACCCTAGGATGTATACATTTTGGAGACTCTCAAGACAAAAATGATTTTGTCAGAGAGCCTTGTTACCGGAGCGTTCCCTCGTTTCCACATTAATAAATAAGTATATGGAGATGAAGCAATGATGGGGATCGATCATTTCTTCAAAAACGCATTTGACTGGGACGTCAGTCCCATCGGGTGGAGGAAAGTGACAGTCTGTGGCTCTTCTTCCGCGATTTGACTCGCTGAAGTAGCAAAAGTTCATCTTTACTTTCTGAGAAAATTATCGATGGAGTTGGAGTCTAAAAACTGCTCAACGATAGTGTCGTTCGAGTTCCGAATCGCTATGAGCCCACTTGTGTTTTTTTCTTATACCTACTTTCGTTGCATATCAATTTCTCAATTTCGTTGTTTTCTGTTCTGTTTTATATTTTTCTTTTTTCTTTTCTTTTTCTTTTCGATATTTTTGTTTTATTTTCTCTGATTGCATAAGTAGGTAGTCATGTCCTTATTTTATTTCCTTTCCCTTTCATTTTTTCCTTTTATGTAGCATCTGTGTCCATTTGCAATTATTATTTTAAAATAGCTTTCCGTATTATACATTTGATGCTTCAAATAGAACCAATTTGTTTTAATGACATTTCCGGCTAAATCATGAGTTTATCCAGGGAGGCAGCCTCTCGTCCCTCTTGGACTCTACTGTTGGCAGATAACTTGCTTTTTCAGCACTTTTCCCAGTTCAAACCCATGTAAGGCCTTGTCTCCACGGGCCTTTTCACGAGATTTGTCCCAAGGAAAAATCCCACTTACGAAGTTGGGAAAAATATTGAGTTAATCAATATTTTTCCCAGTACCAAGTATGGTCATTTTACTCCTAGGACCCACTGAGAGAGGAAGAAGAAGTGTAAACGAATTGTGCGATATTTTGTTGATTACTCCATTGTCCATGTTCGTTTAGTTAAAATAATGTGTCTATTTGTCAATTGAGTGCAATTTTTATTTTAATCCAGGTTAAATACTCGACTTCAACCAAGTTATCTTCCCGCGCAAACTAGTCGCAGGACCGTATGAGCCTCGTCCCGTGGAGACGGTAACTGGGAAAAATTCCAGAAGTTTCATTCCTGCGATTCGAACTTGGGACAAATCCCATGAAAACTTCCCGTGGAGACAAGGCCTAAAATATCCCTGTTAAAAGTGTTACATGCTGACTTTTGCATGTAAATACGGTTTCATGAAAAATTCGCATGGAAATTTTTTCCATGAAAAAAATTCGGCATGTAAACTTTTTCCATGAGAAATTTTGGCATGGAAATATCATGTGTACCTTGATGACGTCAGCTAGTGGCTAGTTCCACATCGCCTGTCGCCTTCTAGGTTATCTAGGTTATGTCCGCCGCGTGTTCCTCCATAGAATAATAAAGCTACGCCTTATTAGGCGGCGTTAGCTTTATTATTCTATGGTTCCTCTCCTCTTGCACTCCTGACAAACTTTATCACTCCATGGTTCCGCACGTCACATTGGGTGGCCGACTTATGTTCCGGAACAAAAAAATACTACATTTGAATACTTTTCACACTGTTTTCGATAGAATATCTAGGAGCACGATGCGCACCGCTGACCAACCCGATATTTCCATGCGATTGGGAGGCACCAGCTATGTTTCCATGCGATGAGAAATTATTTATTCGATAGATAATAAGAGATTTTACAAAGATGAATGATAAGCTAAAGTACTTAGTGTTAATATGTAAAAGTATAGTAAGTAAAATGTAAAAGTATAGTCTAGTATTTAGTGTGGTATAGTAAATGATTATACATACATAGATGCGATCGGTGTTGAAACTAAAACATTTCCATCCAACTTGCATGTGAACCATTCATTTCCATACTGTATGACTTTCACGTTGCGTGTTAATTACTTAATTGACATGCAAGTTGGATGGAAGCAGTCAAGATTTCCATGCCAATCTCATTTAAGTTGGCTATTTCCATGTCAAATCTCATGTAAATCGTCCATTTACGTGTCATTTTTCATGTAGGTAACACTTTTAGCAGGGATTCACATTTATCACACAATCTGGCAACCCCTCGAGTGAAATAGCAAAAAGGTGGAATTGTCTGAAAAGTGGAATCCTTCGAAGTTTATATTAATGATATTAATAATTACAGCCTTTTGATCCCTCAAACTTCACCGATATGATCTTAGGTAGTTCAAGGTTTCTCTGACCCGAACCAAGTGATTACACATCTGAGGTGTGTCTTATGGTTCTTCAAATTAGAAATCTTTAGGAAAAATTTTTGCGGTTCCCGGCGTTTAAAAGGTCAAAAATTCGTTCTGGATTTTAAAAGTAGTTTCTTACGGGAAAACGCCATTAGTGCGACAAGGAGAGCCAATCGTCTGGAACCCGAGACCGTCGTCGAAAGAATCAATGCTGGCTGTGACGTAAGACTGAATGAGTCCATCGTCGTTTGAATTCTCCCTTTCTCATTTCATGTGAGCATAAATAAAGAAGGAAAGAAGGAATTGAAGAATTGACAAAAGAAATTAAATGTTCTAGGTCTCATTAATCGTTTTCAAACATAAAATTATATACTTTAAAAATTTCACGGAAAAATGTTAGTTTCTAATTCTTAAAAGAATAAGGTAGAACTTGTACCCGGAAACATTATGAACGAAAATGATAATGAAAGGAGAATGCGTCTCTACCCGCAAACGAATCACGTGCTACCAGCAGATGATAAAGAGCACAACTGATCACAATTCATCAGAGCATAATCATGCATAATTGGAACTCTGAAATCAGATAAAATGGTTGGTGGTGGGGGTAGTCAACGGCCCAACATCGCCGTGAGTCCAGGAATTTGGCGAGGACTGCACGGGGCGAGTGCCGTATGTCCGAAAAGCATGTGGGAAAAATGCCGTGAGTGCCATCCGGGGCCCGAGATTCCTGGACATACGGCAGTCTATCGTTGCAACCTCGCCTCTATGTGAGACATACGGCAGGCAACCCCCTCCATATCTCTGAAATCAATGAAGATACGCCTTTGCTGACTTCAATTTTGAACAGAGCATGCTTCATTACTCTATATGAAACTGCTGTTATCACTCACTCTGCCCCCCCCCCCTACAGAGAAATTGGCCGAAGCGATTTCATTTAAACTGGTACACGCTTGCCAATTGTCGTGAGGAGTTGATCAAAATTATTTCGATTCCAATACGTTGTCCAAGACGGCTGCGAGCGCGAAAAGTTGTTTTTCCGTATGGTAATGCATCGAAGATACGAGGTTGTTCACCGCTGCACCGCGCCGAACAGGTTCAATCCTGTCGCGTGACGTCACAGCATTATAGACGAAATTTCAGGTTTCAGGGGGTACTTTTCGACGGATTTTTGTGAAAACTATCGTGCAGGGGTATTTCTCGACGGGAAACTCGAATTTTTGGTCACATTTTCAAAATTGCAAAATCCAAGATGGCGGCCATGGCCTAAAAAGCTATCTCGACTCCTGATCCATCGATTTTTGTGAAATTCGGCAATCATCATTAATATAAACTTCGAAGGATTCAGACTTTCAGCGATTCTACCTTTTTCTATTTCACTCGAGAGGTTGCCAGATTGTGCGATAAATGTGAATATTTTACATGGATTTGAATTGGGAAAAGTGTTAAAAAAGCAACTTATCTGGCAACAATAGAGTCCGGGAGGGACGAGAGGCTGCTTTCCTGGGAAAACCCATGATTTAGCCGAAAATGTCATTGAAACAGTTCATTACGTTTGAAGCATCAATTGTATACTAGAGGAAAGGTATTTTAAAATAATAATTGTAAATGGACACAGATGCTACAGAAAAAGAAAAAGAAAAGGGAAAGGAAATGAAATGAGGAAATGATTACTAATATGCAATCGGAGAGAATAAAACAAAAACATCAGAGAAATTTATATGTGATGAAAGTATAAAAAAGAAAAAAAACACGAGTAGGCTCATTGCGACTCGGAACTCGAACTATACTATCGTTGAGCAGTTTTTAGACCCCTACGCCACCGATAATCTTCTTAAGAGGTAAAGATGAACTTTTGCTACTTCAGCGAGTCAAATCGCGGAAGGAGATCCATGGATTGTCTTTTTCCGCCACTCAATGGGATGGCGTCCCAGTCAAATGCGTTTTTGAAGAAATGATCGATCCCCATCATCACTTTATCTCCACACATCTATTCACGTGCAAATGATGGCACGCTCCGGCAACAAGGTTCTGTGACAAAATCATTTTTCCCTCCAGAGTCTCCAAAATGTATACATCTTAGTGATCAAATGTCCAATCACTGAGATAAATGGCTCGCGGAGCGAGCCGACTGTCGAATGTCACTCGCGTAGCGAGTGATCGGGGGTCCAGGGGGCGCAGCCCCCTGGCTGGCCGTGACGGACGCGCTAAGCGCGTCCAGAACGGCTAGTAGAAGATATATTTCGACGAGAAATTCGAATTTTTGGTCAGATATTCAAAAATTAAAGATGCCCTGGCCTGAAGTGCTATCTTGGCTCCTCTTCAATCGATTTTCGTGAAACTCGGCATGAGCGGGTATTTTTTGACGGGAAACTCGAATTTTTGGTCCTATTTCAAACATTTTTAAACATGATGTCTTGGCTTCACTTCGATCGATTTTCATGAAATTCGGTATCAGGGGGTATTTTTCAACAACTCAATTTTTGGTCAGATTTTCAACTTTTAAAAATCCAAGATGGCGGTCGCGCTATATTATGCGGCCCCGGCTCCTGGAACATGAATTTCCGTAAAACTTGGTGAAAAAGAAGATGAAGACGAAGATGTTGTCTTCTTATCAATGTTAAGAACTATGTGGGGCGGTGGCGGCTCGCAGAGCGAGTCGCAAGTTCATCGCGAAGCGAAGAACTGGGGTCCAGGGGCACTCCCCGGCTAGGCATGTCAGATCGCGAAGCGAGCTACTCACGGCTAGTTCAGTATAATTTCATGTCCAACAAAAAAAAAATTGGCTCATACGGCGTTTCTTTTTAGCACGGCAGAATGCGGGCCCAGCACACGAGGGGGCGGACTGACAATGGATCTTGACAGGACTTACCTAGTGCGACTCTAGCGCTAGTGGCCTCGTGATTGATCCAAAAAGAAACCCAAGAGAGCATCACAATGAGGATGGAGGGGAGGTAGGTTTGGAAGACGAAATAACCGATGTTTCTCTGGAGCTTGAACGAGAGTGACAGCCGTTGGTAGATGCCAGTGGCCAGCGTCTCTTTCCGGTCGTTTGTCTCGTGGCCGACTATTGTGAATTGCGGTAATTCTGCATCTTCCACACCTCGCACCGCGGTGTCTTTCCAGTACATCACCACATCCATCACCGTGTACCCATCTGCAACGTCCAAACCACCAGATTATAGCTAGGCACTGCATTCGAAAAAACATTGAAGTTACCGTTAAAGCAGCAAGGAACGGTGTATATAACAAGGTTTAGCAATCCTGCGGACACCAGCTGGGAGCCCCTGCCTCAAGGGTGGTTGTTCATGCCAGACACTGGCACTGGCGTTTACTATATTTCATCATGTTTTCTATTCCATTGGACGTCGTTGAGATCGAGTGACGTCAACTTGTATTAACTGTTTAACATTCTGATGGTGTACATTCCGACCGTTTCTATCTGTTGTGCCGTAAAGTTAGCGACTCTACACAAAGTTTAAGGGAATTAGAAATGCACCCGAATGACGTAAGCGGAGACGCTTGAGAACCGAGCACCTAGTGCCGCGGCCTTCTCAGCCGAAAGATCTCGGAGAGGTGGCGCTAACGCTCGGGAAAAAGTATAACCGTCGTATGAATGCCGTTTTGTCGAATCACGTGATTGGCCCGAACTGTGATGGACAAAATCCGTTGCCTCGTTGTCAGGGTCAGAATCTGGCAATACTGCATGTAAACCGAGCCGCCGAGATAGATGTCGAAGCGGCGGCACATTGAATACAGACATCATGGCGTCTATACCGTAACTCCACTAGTTCTTCATTTCTCACTCTTAACATGATGTCAGGTGTGTGTCTTTATCATTTTCAGTTCTTTCTACTGCTTCTTTCTTTCTCTTCTTCTGGCTACCTGAGGCTCGCGTTTCTGTGATCTGTTAGTCGCCGAATCATGTCCGGTTCGAGTCGCGTGTCACGAGGTTGCAAGAGCCTAACCGCCACCGGTCGCCACATGCCTTATCTAGTCCAGTCATGTCCAACGTAAGTCCTGTCAATCTGCCCCGCCCTCGTCCGAAAAGTCTGTTTGTCCATGTATCTGTCCGTCCTATGTCCTAGTATGATTCGTCCAAACGTACGATTTCGTTCCAATGGCACTCTTCAAGTCCTATGCCTAATGCTCAGCCCATCTTCTGTCCACGTCCTTATCACCAAAACCCGAAAATCCCTTGTCTCGTCGTCGTCCATAGTTTTTCGATTTCCCATCTGAAAAGGCTTCAGAATGTCAAACTTAGATACAGAATGCCCTCCAATGTCATACGAAGGAAACGCCTCCGCAAATTAGAAACAGTGGTATCTGCAGTTTGAGATATGGCTTGTCGCCACTGACCTCATCAAAGCTTCTGATCACAGGAAAAACGCTCTTCTGCTCAAGTGCGTGTCTGGTAATGCCTTCATCATTTACCAATCTTTCCAAATTGACATCTCCAAAACCGAATTTATTGACCTGGTTGCACTTTTTCACAAACATTTTGCACCAAAGCCCAACGTAACTGTTGACCGAATCTAGTTCTTCAGCAGAAAGCAAAAAGCGGATGAAACACATGAATCATATGTCACCGACCTTCGCAATCTTTCTCACACATGTCAACTTCGGTGATATTTAAGACAGCATTGTCAAAGATCTGTTCATCTATGGTATTCATGATTCAAGTATCAAGGAACGCTTACTTCTAGAAGGCAAGTCAAGACCCGCTAAGACATTTGAATTTGCCAAAAAATTCAGCTTTCCAAACATCGTGTGGAGCAACTTCAATCAACACCTGCTGAAGTCAACGTCTTGAACGAGCAATCATCATCATCATCGTCAAACTCAAATCGGTACTCTCCATCAAGGTACGGACGGTGCCGATCACCATTAAAACCCAGATGGTCCTATTCTCCAGCAGACTTAAATTGCTACAGTTCTCGCTCTGTCTATCCCTATGAACGTTCAAGAAACAGCGGACATCGTCGAAGTTCTCCTCATCCAAGATACTACCGGTCTCGATCATCGTCTCGGAGTTCTAGCCGTTCTCGCAGTCCGAGTCCCAGACGTCATATCGACTCTCGTCCCAAAGGAGAAAAATGTTCCAACTGTGGCCAACATCATCATGCATACATATGTCCAGCGCATGGTAGAACTTGCAACAATTGCGGTAAGCTAAATCATTTTGCTCGTTATTGCCCTGAAAAGAAACTTCACTATTTGAATGTTGAGTCGTCAGACGGTGATATTTTGTTCATAAACAACATTACCTGTAGCCGTGATAAGTTTTTATCAACTAACACACCATTTGCTGTTAATGTCTCTTTCAGTCCCATTAAGAAAGTGTCTAATGATTTCTCTAACAATCATGTCAAATCATCATCTCATCACAGTGTTTATCACAGCTCTTTTTCAAATATTTTTCATGAAACAACATCATCATCGAATGTGGAACTACAATTATCCTCTAGTAAACTGTCAAATTTCTCTATTTCAACGGGCAGTCCACTTTTACCTCCAAATTCTAATGCACAAAACAATGTTGAAAACTCGTCTACATACATCAAAAACTTGTCATCTTCAAAATCATCTGACAGCAAATGGTATAATAGTGTCAACCTAAATCGCCATTCTTTACAGGCATAAGTCGATACAGGTGCTCAAAGAAAAGTCCTGCCTCTGTATGTGTTCAAACAAATTAATCTCAATGAAAACATCATCATGCCCTCTAAAATAAAAATGAGAGCCCTATCGGGTCAACCCATTCCATCTTGTGGTATATGTTATACATCCGCATCATTTAACAACAATCGTTATAACCTAAAATAACCTTCCTCTCGGTCAGAGAAGCAGAGTTTGAAGAGGAGCCTCTTCAATGAATATTATATCTACCTCGTCTCAGAAGTTTTTGCATCCTACGCCTGCACTCGCAAGAAACAAATTTTTGCTAATTCCTAATTTAGTTTTAGGAAAGAATACTTACAGCTTTCTATTTCCACCGTGCAATTTTGAGAGTCAAGAGGATAATAGTGGAGGTCCATCATACAGGCCAATGTGGTCGTGAATCGCATGCCATACGTAATACTTCCATCTCCACTGAGTCGCACCAATTTGTTCCTCTCCGTAACGTCGTGTAAAAAACTGTGTACAAAATAATTGATTGAAATAACTTCATATCAAGTCTGATGAAATTCCAGGAAAGCCTATAATTAGACATATTTCGACACACAATAAATAAATAAATAAGTATAGGAATTTTCTAAAGGGGACTGTGACTTCATCATGAACTGAGTTAATAGGTAACCTGTTTCCAAAATAGAAATGGACAAAAACTCCAGCATGACATGTAGATAGGTCGCGCACCCCGGCACCCACCCCTGGCAAAACTGTCCTTATACCGCAAAATCCTAGACGTCAGTACCTACCGTCATGACAGAACGCAAGGCATGACAATGAAATGTGATCCTCGTGCCATCTGCCGTCGTCGCTGCTGAATAAGTTTTACTTGACCGATAAAGGGAAAAAGTTAGTTATGAACGAGTGTATCTAATCCGAACCAGAGTGATGTATACGTTTCACAACGCACCTTCGAGGTGTTCTTTACAGAGCCTATACTGAATATGGTACACGCCAACGCGACGGCTCCTTAAAGTTTATTTGCTAACAAAGGGCTTTTTGGTCTAATTTTGAGTGCTCTTATTCCCTACTTCTAATGTAGGTGGACGGAAATACTATAAACCCTTTTTTACTTCATTCATGAGGAACTGAATTTTTAGAATACGTCATCTCTTAATTTTCTTTTCTGATTTACTATTGGTAGGTACCCAGTAATGAAAGCGTTTACGTTCCCTTCTGGAATCCAGTAGTAACTATAATCTCTTGCTACTGGGGATGACTTTTTTCCCGAAATTTCTGAATCTGATAAAATAATTTCAAATTCGTTACGAGAACCCCGATTTTCAAAGTCAAGATCTTTCACCCCCTTTCCAGTCTCCAAGGAAGACCGTCACAGCTGGGCCCTCGATGATGAAATTTGTAAGCCTTCGGGTCAATTCTGTAATTCGTCTTCGTGGTCCTCAACTTGGCCCGACCAATTGAAAATAAGCTAGGAAAAAACTATCAGCACTTAGGTTAGGTATAACGGAATCTTGGGTGCAATTTTATGATATCTATGTGAAATGTTGTCCTCTGGATGGAATAAAATTTCGATTCTCTTTTTTTGGTTGAATTTTGGTTTGACTTCCGGTTCAAATAACTCGCTCCGTATTAAAATCGGTGGCTTCAAATGGGTCACGTAATATCTTTAAGTTATTTACCTGTTTTTATCGTTGGCGAAGAATGTATCGGGGACCCAAATTTTTTCAGCAAAGTCTCCGGACAGTGTCAAAATTTCATCGTAACTACTGAAGGATAGACGTTCGTCTTTCCAATATTGATTCAAGTACATTGTGATCGTGTAATCCTGTGAAAATAAAATCAAAAATTACTGAGTAAGTTCCATTTCATATGAAGTAACTTATGTACAAAAAATGCAACAAAGAAACAAGGACGAGCAAAAGAGCTGCAGACTACCTTTACCCGTCTTCGTCCACTATTCGTAGGTATCTCAAAGTAAGACTCAAGATTGAGCTTTAAAACAAAAAACATTCCAACTGCGTAATTAGACTTCAAGGAATGTGTCTGTTGCATAGGTACAGGAGGATAAATGTCGAATGCAAAATAAAAGACATTTTGATCACACGGTCCAGGACTGTGTCATCAACATTTCTTTCATAACAACATTGTTCTTGTTTTGAAAGATACATGCCAAGTACTACGTTTTTAGATTTTTACATGTGTGATGCCTTTGTAAAAGCGAGATCTGTTTCGTTTAGCAGCTTCTTTTTAATGTTCATGTTTTTTAGTCCGTAACTCCGCACACAAATTGATCACGTTGTTCTAAATTTTCTCCGAATTTACACAATAACAATTTTTGGATATTTATGGATAATTTTTTCAACTTTGCTACAAATTCATTGATGGAGTCATTTTTCTGTACTCTTTCACTAAAGGTATAACGCAACGACATTACGGGTAGCGTTGGCTTATAATGTTCAGTTCGGTATTCTACTGTCTTTTTTAAAGTTAACTGTGGGTGGAGGTTTAGGAGGAGTCGCTAAACGTAACAAGGCATAAATCTCCGACTTTAATGATGACAGAAGTACAGTAATTTGTTTATAGTCCGGTACACTGTTAGCAAAAAACCATTGCTCAAGTCTTTCAAACCACACTTCAAAATCTTCCTCTTTGGCATATGGAGGGCCATTCACCATTTTTACGAAGAGGATGAACACAATTATCATTTGCACTATTCTTAGTATATTTACACAGTAAGAAGGCCGTCCACACAGAAGGCAGTTCCTACAACAGATTTTCTTCCGTTTCTCGCTTATCGCACAGTAGATTTTCTCCTTTCATATAGTAGCCATTATTCATCCACGTCGCCAATTGTAATATATTTGTATTGAAAGGAAAATACATCCCTAACTTTAGCTAGAGCCTAAGCTAGTATACTCAGAGCACCTAGCAGGTTCATCTTCACACAGTGCTGGAATGTACTGTATCCTCACTCTCCTGAGCATAGGTCACTCGGAGACAGTGTTGCCATATCACTAATATAATAATAACATATACATCACAATCAATTTTTTTTTTTAATAACCAAAAGCTGATTTTCTGCAAGTCACTCAAAAAATCGATAAAATCGTTGAATTACCAGATGCGCTTGTTTCCAGGATTTTTAGAGGCTTTTGCGAGGGGGGGGGGGGGAGACGAAAATTAACTAGCACTTTTTTTAGCCCACGAAGATTATTTCTTGAGTTTATAAAAAAGAAGAACGACCTACCATATTTACTTCGCTGATCGAATCAAAACTTGCAATCGTCAGGTCCATTCCGACGTACAACGGATCTCCTAAAATCAGAAATTGTCATGAACTTGCAGCCTGACTGAGTCTGACGTAACAGAATTACACTGTGAAGGGGAGAGAGAGAGAGAAATCATACCTGTTATGGACTAACGGTTTGCCTGTTCTCGGCCCAGCGAACGCGAACACAGTTGGTATTGCCGTGTAAACCGCAAACTGAATTGGAGCATCTCAGCAGTAGTAGAATTTTTGAAGTGATCGTAAAAAATGTAATAATCATTTTATAATAATTTTTAGAAAAATAAAAAACTAATCAATTAAATACCTACGTAAAATATATTAAATAAATAAATAAAATAAAGGGGTACGTGCAAAACGGGCCATTTGGGGCTCGAGGCGCATACCCTTGAGACTTGCCCTATTCATTCACCAAACAATGCCCCATCTTTTCCCAAAGTTTCAAGCCCTCCAAAAATTTTGGGGAGACGCAGCGGGGAGTCAAAGTTAAAAACCGGCAAATTTTTCGCGAATTTATTACTAGTAAACCAAGAAGTTTTGGAAAACGCCGTTTAAACGAGCGTATTCAGCGTGACAAGAGCTTTCAGACAATGCATAACATCATAGGGTTTTGTCAACTTCCGCTCGAGTTATCGCCTCTGAAGCGCCGGAACGCTAAAAAATGACCCGCTTTTTTTTCACGTTCGGGCCGATCCCCAAAATACTCCATTTTTAATTTCTTTGAAAAACTGATATGTTGTTCCTGACTCTCTGTGGCCCCTTTAGCTTTTTACCACATCGTCACCTTCCAGGCAAAGTGTCACAAGCGCCATGCGACGTTTAAAAATTTCCGCCGCCATTTTATTTTTTTACTCAGAAATTGTTGGTTGAATCTGTTCGAGAATTTCACCAAATTTTACCGGCAGCACAAAGAAAATTCGGTGTAATTTTCGGACAGCTTCGTTGAAAAATTTCTCAGTAAAAAAATATAATGGCGGCGGAAATTTTTAAACGTCGCATGGCGCTTGTGATATTTTGCCTGGAAGGTGACGACATGCTGAGGAAATGTTTTGGTCGCGAGTTGTAAGAGTGGAAAGGAGCGAAGGTTGGGAAAATCGGCTATTTTAAACTGCGCGGGCGGCGTTGATCGGAAGGAAATCGTCCCCTCCTACTCAGCTCGGCGGATCACACTCCTCTGCCAAACTCGCATTGTTGCCACATGTCTCCTGATCCTTCGCCGCGCGCAGTTTAAACTAGCCGATTTCCCCAACCTTCGCTCCTTTCCGCTCTTATAACTCGCGACCAGAACATTTCCCCGGCATGCGGTAAAGAGCTTGAGAGGCTACAGAGAGTCAGGAACAACATATCAGTTTTTCATCAAAATAAAAAAAAATGGCTTTTTTTAAATCAGCCCGAACGTGAAAAAATAAGGGGTCTTTTTTGAGCGTTCCGGCGCTTCGGAGGCGATAACTCGAGCGGAAGTTGACAAAACCCTATGATGTTATGCATTGTCTGAAAGCTCTTGTCACGCTGAATACGCTCGTTTAAACGGCGTTTTCCAAAACTTCTTGGTTTACTAGTAATAAATTCGCGAAAAATTTGCCGGTTTTTAACTTTGACTCCCCGCTGCGTCTCCCCAAAATTTTTGGAGGGCTTGAAACTTTGGGAAAAGATGGGGCATTGTTTGGTGAATGAATAGGGCAAGTCTCAAGGGTATGCGCCTCGAGCCCCGAATGGCCCGTTTTGCACGTACCCCTTTAAATAAATAAATTGAATAAATACTCTTAGTAAATGAATATTCAATGGTGAAAGTGCAGAAGTGCGGAACTCGGAAAACACGATTTTCCAGGAGAGTACCTATAAAAACTGTCTACATTCCTCCTCATTGTCAGTAGAAGGGTAATAATGCTTGAGAATAGCAAGAATAAGATGCTTTTTCAGACTCCATCAGCATTTTGAATAATTTCTCGAACTGTCAGAAAATACGGCAGAAATGACGAGATTCGCGTTTTTGGCACTGAGAATTGACCCGTTATCACGAGGTACGTATCTTGACAATTAGTGTCTTAAACCTGTTGTTGCCGGATTTCGATCATTTAAAGACTGAAAAAAGAGTTTCACGCTTATAATTCCTTATCAGAAGTTATATTTTGATCTCATACGGTCGGATCAAGTATTGTTTGGTTGGAAAATGACACTTTATCATGAGATACACATTCCTGCAATTATAGCGTTTTGAACCAGCTCTTGATCATCAAGATCAAAAATAGAGTTTACTCATATGGCCTAGTTACACGATCAAATTCCTATCAAATTCCTATCAAATTCCGATCAAAATGATGACCAAGATGGCGGTCGAGAGTTATCTAGATTGATGAGTGAAATTAAGCAAAACAGCTATAGCATGTTGATTGAAATGAGCATGAAATAAGCATGGTTGTGTGGAAATCAGATGAAGGACGAGCCCCACAGCTCCATCATCTAATATCAAATTTTTGCAGGCCGCAGAAATTTGATGGTAGATGGTGCGCACCAGTCACCATTTGATCGGAAATTGATGAAAATTTGAGCGTGTAACCAGCACAATACTGAAAACTTGTTTAGAAGCTGTAGTTGATCCATACGGGATGAAGCATTGTGTGACTCGATTGACTCTAATACAACTGACCGATGTGATGAACCGTCAGTTTGTCGTGCCACAAGCTGTCAGTTACGGCAACTCCGCATCGCACTTTCTCACGAGCCAGACCATCTCCAGTGATAAGGCGTTTCAGTCCTTTTTTCCTCTTTTGCACACGTCACCTTCGGAGATGAGTTGACCTCGACACGAGCCCCAAAGCCCAGCATCCTGGGACCCCGCCGCTCGCCCCGCTCGCGGATACGTGAAGCTTTAAAAGCCACGGCCGCCAGGCCGCTGGGGGCCAGTCTTACACTGCCTCCCCTAGGGCGACGTTAATTTTTCATGAGGAGGTATGATTTGGAAGGTTTGTTTGATATTTATGCTATGTATCATGAGTTGATTTGTATTTCGTAGCTGTGTGCTATTTTCTTCATTGGAGCTTGTGCTTGTCATATTTTTTGCTGTATAAAGTGTTCATTTTTCTGCATCTCAGTTTTCATATTTTTTTATTAGCCTGTACTCCCATGGAGTCCATTTCCAGTTTCTAGTTGTTTTTCCGAGTTTTGTCGTCCTCATGTATTTCCTGAGCGAAGCGTCGGTCTTCGGATCGCTTTTGCGTGGAAATCCATGAGCATGATTTCTGCTCGAGAAAACGAGTTCATTTTCTAGTTTCTATGGTTGCCTTTCTGAGTTTGGATCATCCTCGTGTATTTCCTGCGCGAAGCGTCGGTCTTCGGATCGCTTTTGCGTGGAAATCCATGAGTATGATTTCTGCTCGGGAAAAGGGGCCGTAGTTCTCTCAGGGGATGCTATTTCCTTGCTTCCGCGATTTGCGCGCTGGGACAAGTTGGGCATATCTTTTCTAGGCTTTCCCTCTTTTGTGTTTTCCTCTCATCCATCGTTGGTGCTGGTCCTCAGGATCGCTTTTGCGCGGGGGAAAGGGTTTGAGTATGAGCAGGAGCACATGTGATGGGACGAGCTTGGAAGGGATCCCTGCCTCGCCACCTCTAGGGTGTTCCGTTTTTAGACAACCATCTCAAAACCTTGCTCCCCGGGCTTTTTCCCATTCCTTTTGGTCCCCAAAAGACAATTCTGAAGTTTCAGCACCATAGCTGAAGTCTACACTTTCCCCCAAAGCGATGAAAATTTTGGGAGCAATTACATTGGTTTAGATGAGGAGAAAATAGGCCGATTCGCGGAACTACGTTTCTCGGTCGTAAAATGCGCCAAAATGATTTCAAACCTGACCATCTCTTGAGAAGTCGTCCGGAGGCCTATTTTGAATGAGAAAATTCCACTTTTGACCCAGAGATGGGGGAGGGGGGGGGGTCACGGCGCAGTTAGTTTGGAGGCGCTGCGCGCAGCAAAATGATAGCATTTGACAGTTTTTGATCAACCTCAAAACAGGCCCTTCGAAGCTGAAGAGGCTAATATATCTCAAAAATTGTAATAAAATAATGTACAAGAGTTGCTTTCATCCCTTCAGAACTATTTTCGACCATTTACACTGTTGCCAAAATTTACTCGAAACTGGAAGGAAATTAGTGTATATCATGTTCTGCACTTGAGTGATTTTGGCAACAAAGTAAATGGTCGAAAATAGTTCTGATGGGATGAAAACAACTCTTGTACATTATTTTATTACAATTTATGAGATATATTGGCCTCTTCAGCTTCGGAGGGCCTGTTTTGAGGTTGATCAAAAACTGTCAAATGCTATCATTTTGCTGCGCGCAGCGCCTCCAAACTAACTGCGCCGTGACCCCCCCTCCCCCCATCTCTGGGTCAAAAGTGGAATTTTCTCATTCAAAATAGGCCTCTGGACGACTTCTCAAGAGATGGTCAGGTTTGAAATCATTTCGGCGCATTTTACGACCAAGAAACGTAGTTCCGCGAATCAGCCTATTTTCTCCCCATTTAAACCAATGTAATTGCTCCCAAAATTTTCATAGCTTTGGGGGAAAGTGTAGACTTCAGCTATGGTGCTGAAACTTCAGAATTGTCTTTTGGGGACCAAAAGGAATGGGAAAAAGCACGGGGAGCAAGTTTTTGAGATGGTTGTCTAAAAACGGAACACCCCAGCCACCTCGGCTGCGCGGCTGCAGGTCGCATTGGAGAGACGCAAACCTAGAGTTTGCTATAGCCATATTTTTGCCTCTTATGAGTTTCCTTAGTATTATTTTTTTGCGTGCCCGGGTTTTTCCTCCCACGCATTGCTGAGCTAGCTGGAGGGTTATTTTTGATAGCCCGGAGCCCGAAGCACGACACAGTTCATGATTACTTTGGCCCAGAGAGTGAATAATAGACATGAACGGCGCGCCGCTTGTAGTAGGTGCGCCTAAGAAGAAATGATACTAGGGGGCCCTCGAGTGATAAGCATTTTGCAACTTTTCAAAACCAGCAAATTCCTGAAAATAAATAAAAGCACAGAAAAGTTGATCAGCTGATGCATGCGCTGTTGGCGGGAAACGCTGAGGAGCGCGCGGTGTGCGTCAGGTGCGCCGGATCAAATGAAGGGGCCAGAACGAGATACCTACGCATTCGAGCATATGTACGAGATTCTGCGCTTAAGCCTGAGATACGCGAAAAAAGTTCTACGGTTTGAAGTGACTTCCCGATTTTTTTCGATTATAATCTCTTGCTGGCAGATAGCCGACATCTATAACAACACGCTTAAGTATGCAAGTAACTCAAAACTGTTAAAAATTGTGATACCTACGTACTTCTGCATTTTCACCATCGATATAGGGTTTTGCAATCGCAGTCCCCTTTTTTTGAGAACGATAACTGATGTTACTTGATTTTTTAACATTTATGTGAAAAAACTCACGCTCCCACTATGACTTCGACTACTCGTTAAGACGCGTTTCCGCGGTTATCTAGGCTACACGCCGAAACGCGTCTTGACGAATAGTCGAAGTCATCGTGGAAGCATAAGTTTTTTCACATATATGTTCAAAAATTAGATACCTATAGGATTTTACACTTAATCCAAGATTTGTTCTATGTATGTAATTTTTCGTAATGTTTAAGCTTACCACCGAAGTTAGGTCGCAGTCTAATGTCGTATCCATCCAAAAGTCGTGTGATGGTTTGAGTCACGTTTTCCAATCGATCAGTCCATTTGGGTGTCATGACGTAATCACTAGACAAAAAAATTAGACATTTAAGTAGGGGAGATGTGGCTGAGTTGGGACGGGTTTGAGTTGGGACAGTTTAGTTTTTTCATATGACAGTTGGTAGCAGGACGTCGATTTTTGGTGTGGTGGTACCCCCGAGACATCCAAGTAAACAGACCTTGAAACGGGAGCGATTGACCGTGTTTTGCATTTTTCAGGTGGGATTGTTTTTTTTTTGGAGCCTAAAAGCCAGAGACAAGAGACCCTCCACTGGCCTCCTAGCGACAGGTGGAAGTTTTTACTTTCGGGGTTTCAACAATTCCTTACGGACCATTACTAGGGAGCAACAGACATCATCTTAATTTCGGCTGTTGACTTACCTACATGGTCGATGATGAGCTTCGGATGACGTCATGAGCCAAAACAAGTTTCCCAAACTTCGGCCATTTTCGGCGTGTTTGCAAAACGAAACTGCCAACACGTTGTTGAACATCAACCATGTAGATAAGTCAACAGTAGAGTGCTGAAATCCCGAAAGTAAAAGCTTCCACAACGGCCAAGATACTAGTGGAGGGTCTATTGTCTCTGCTGAAAGCTCGTATTTTTTTTTTTTTTTAGAAAATGACGTGTGGTTCTCAGAGATTTAAACATTTTGCTGATGTTTTTGTACCAATGTTGAGGGTAGATCTTCTGTCATTAGTTCCCTTTGCGTTTTCTTCCTTATTCCTAACCTCAAATTCTCACCATCAATATTTACGCGGAAGGACCTTCCAGTCTGAGTTGGGACAATGCACTTGTGGAAGAGTTGGGACGGCCCAACTCATAGTATGTAGGTTCCCTTCCAAAATGTATTGAAGTTTAGTCGCTGTATGCCAATTTGACGTCACCTACTTAACAAAAATTTAGAATTAGGTATTTGTTCTCAAAAATTAAATTTTTACGTACTGATTTATTACTTTGTCACTACAACTGTCTCATTTTGACTATTAAAATAATTTTTCTACCTATTGAAATAATTTTTCTACCTATTAAAATAACTTTTTTACATTATAGGTAAAGCAATATTGTTTGTATATATGCTGCTAAGTGCCTAAGTTCTCATTAAAGTTTAATTTGATCTTAAATTTGAAGATTTTTCTACTCTGTCCCAACTCTCCCAGGGAGCCGTCCCAACTCTCCCAGGGGTGTCTGAGTTGGGACACTTTTAAATTTTTTTTTATTTAATTTGTAGCAAAGCTCCTATTCGTTCAATTGAGACCAAACCTCCAGTAAGGAGCATAAGAGTGTACTAAATAAGAGGATATTTTTAGCTTTGTGATATTATGCAAATTTTGGGTGCTTTGTGGGAAAATGTAAAAAGTGTCCCAACTCTCCCACACCTCCCCTAGGTAATTATCGTTTTCATAAAAATTGTGAAATTTTTTCTTACACTAGGTGTCATAATAATTAGACACGCAGAACTAGGAACCCCGGGTTCTGCTTATCGAAGTTTCTTTTTCTTGCTTATTTCCAATGCACTAACAACCGATGGGAGTTGTTCAAGACAGTTCTTTGAGGTATCCAACACTCTCCTAATGGACAAAAATCGGAAGTGTGAGGGGAATCCCCTCTAGGGGTCACCAGGGATTGAATGCTGGCCCCCGACCTAGAGCGGCCACGTTATTCTGTATCGTTTCCGCAAGTGCGTAACGTCGGAAACGCGTGGCTCCTGGTCCAAAATTAGCCAGACAACTAGGAGAAAAGACGAGCCGAATGGCGTTGCTTGAATGAGGATAGAAAGATTGCCGAACAGACGGATCGAGAAGATCGGTGAGCTTATTTGGAGGAGGCTATTTGGATGCAGGTCTTAGACCACAGCAATCGCAATACCGCACACAGCTAGTCTTGACGACTTTAAAGAGGTTGTTCCATCTACCATTGAAACTGGGCCCCGAATGAAATCTCCTCATCTTTTCAGGTATCAAAGGGCATGGTCAGGGACACCCAAAAATGGTTGAATTTTTTCCAAATTCCCCCCTGGGGAGGGGGGGCGGGGGGTTATATGAAAAACGGTTTTTTGGCTATAACTTTTGAACGGTTTGAGATATCGATTTGAACTTTTTTTTAAATGAAAGGTCGTTTAAAGAGCTTTCTTTTGGTATATTATGTTTAATAGTTA